TTTGTTACGCCAAATCGGAATTTTAATGAAGAAACATGGCTTCTTTGAATAGAAGACGAATGAAAAATTGTTGCGGTATTTTAGCTTTTTATTTCAACGGACGGACAATTCTTCATTAAAAAATATTCGCTTGCGTTGAAAGTCATTTTTCTGCATAACTCGAAACTTGTTCGATTAATTCGTCACGATAAATTGGTGTACGTGCTTTTCTCTTTTTCTCTCTCTCTCTCTTGCTCTTTCTTTGTTCCGTTCATTTTAGATTGGATCTAGTTGGAAATGTCGATGGAGAGAGATTGAGCACATGGCCCGTGCGATGAACACAGGTGTTGGCAAAAACATTAGCATATTCGATGACGCAGTTAGAAGTTAGTTGTTGGTGTATGTTATTGAATTTTCTTGTTGTTGCTGCTTTTTCTTCTCTGTCTCTCTAACTTTTATTTTCATGGATAAATAAAAACCAACTGTTCGATAAAAAGGGTTTGCATTTTAGCGGCAATATGCTGTGCGAAAGAATATTCTAGTTGAATAATTTTTTTTTTGTTTTGATGTAATTTAACTCAGGTCGGTGATAGTTTAAAAAGTTCATAGCAATGTTACATAGAAACGAGCAGGACTACCGGCGTCCCCACTAATAATGCATTAGTTCATTTCACATCGTACACAACATTTTCCATTCAAAATTACGACACTTTTTCGACAAGCATAATTGCTTTTTGTTGAACGTCGATGATTTCCTTTTGGAACTAAGAGATTTATAAAAAAAACTAACAACACCAACATATACACGCAAAGTTTTCAATGCAATTGTATCGAACCAAATGAATGCCGAACTCCAAAATGCACGCATTTGCTATTATTACCGAACCCTTTTTTAAATCTGGTTGTGACGAATTTTGAGTGTGGAGCACACAACACTTGGCCAAAGCCTGATGGAAAATGTGTTTCGCAATTTCAATCCCAGCAACGAATTTTATTGAAATAGTGTGTGTGTGTGTGTATATGCGATATGTATGCCCAAAAACATTGTATTATGTTTAAAGTGAGTGTTTCTTTTCCATTCCGTTCAAGAGGCATACTTTGAGAAGGCAAATTATGCCGAAAAACGTTATTATTTCAAAATGTATTGTTCTGAAGGACTCTGCGCATTCTGTTCGAACATGAACGTATTCTATATATATATATTTATGTCGTATGTTGTGTGTATGTGATTCTTCTTGAAATATTCGGGTAGTTTGTTGTTCATTGTTATACCTTCTGATGCCAAGCACTTAAAGGTCTTAGTTGCGTTACTAGAGTTGATAAATGTTCCGTTAAAACTTATGGTTTAGGTTTTTAATTGACCCATTTTTCTTTCTATTCATCTGTTGAGTATTAAAGACTAGCTGCTTAAAATAAAAAGCTATATGTCGCAACATGTTTTCTTTTTTGTTTTAATTGTTTGTGGTCAGTTTGCTCAAAAACAGAGCGGTATTATTCAAAAAAAAACTTTTCTTTTACTCTCAATTTATCTTTTTTATAAAAGGCTCTACGTAATTTGTTTATTTATTATTATTTTAATTTAATTTATTTCACTATATGTAATGCTTGTAATTGTTTAATTTTTTTTTTGTTTTGTTTAGTGAAAATAATCATTTTCATAACCTTCAAATGACTTGAAGAAATTGGACGTATTGTGATTTTTATTCATTACTTTCATAATTCTTCCACGTAGGAATTGTTAATAAATGCTAAAGTCTATGGTGTCTTTTTTGCTCATTTTTTTGTTTGTTCATCTAAATATATCATATAATTTTTTGTGTGTTTTCATTCACCACCTTTTAACTGTGTTTTATTGTTTAATTAAATTTATTATGTCTACAGGAGTATGAGTATAGATTTATAAGTAAGTATTAGTAGAGTCTACATACTAATCAATTGACAAGATTAAAAACAAAATTCATTTAGTTTTCTTTTGGCTTATTTTGCGTTTTTGATCCGGCACCATACAGCCACTTACAGTGTCAATAAACAAAAAAATTTCGCTAACAATTTCACTCGTTGTGCTCTTTTGTTATGGTTCAATTTTTGCTCGCTGTGATTTGGTCGTTATAAATCATTTTGTGCATTTCGTTCGTCACAATCGCTCACAAATTTGTGGGTGAAGTGATTCGGAAAGCTTCTTTTTTTGCATATATTAAGAGCAACCAATCGAATGTATTGAAAAAATGTGGATAGCTTTTGTGGCCGGTTCAAATAACGGTAAAATTATCTACGTGCATTTAAATACGGGCGGATAAATTAATCTTGCTTCAAATGCTAATATAAATAAATAAGTTAATAATAGTAGATGAAGATAAATTAAATAAATAAATAAAATAAAGTGAAAATAAATATATAGAAGTGTTTTTTTTTTTTTTAAATCTAATTGTTTTTTGAAAACATACAGATTTGCTGTAAAATGGCGATCATTTTTTGTTGTTGCTGTGTTTCTTTTAAAAATGTTTTGTTTTATGTCGAAAGCAAAATATAACGTAATCGACAACTAGCATGCTGGCTGTTTTGAATTGATGGAAGGAATAAATTCGATCCAAATGTAATTTCGGCGCGTATAATTAGCTTCGAGTATAAATTGGTTTTTCTTTGACTGCGTCATTTTCTTAATGTTTTTTTTTTGTTTTGTTGGTTTCTATTCTATTGGCTAAAATGATCGGACTATTCGAAAGCATATAAAATATGAGTGGTGAGTGAGTATTTGAATTTGTTCCCCGGAAACAGGCATTGTTTCCGAAGTTCAATTCATTGGTCAAAATTACGTGAACTGATCTTCAACATGGAATTTAATCTAATCATAATGATGATAATATTCAAAATACGTCATCTACAAAATACACACCGCCTCATTTAATATAATAAAAATCCTAAAATATCGATCCAATCATCGTGTGTGTGTGTGTGTGTATGTGTGTATTTATTTTGTGAATTTATATAAACTAATAATATATTTTTTTTAAAAAAATCACTACATTGAGATCAAAACTCTCTATCTCACTAGCTTTTTTTCTCATTATCTTTTCAATCGAATTGCTGAAAATATATTTTATGTATATATTGGCTACATTTGTTTCATATCCATTTGTAAACGAATTGAATTGAGTGTGTTATATATATTTATAATTGAAATCGATACAGAAAAAACTGTTTACGGTTGCTGAGTTAATTTTGAGGAAGTTTATATTTTGCAAGCACATTTAAGCTTCTGTCTGGCTCGACAACCAAAGATAAAATAAAAACAACTTGTCCCTTGTAATTTGCCTGTTGGTTGGTTAGTTTTTCTTTTCTTTCGCTAACTGCATAATAACTGTATTGCACCTACCAAATCCTAAAAAAAATCCTCACTTTTGTTAAAAGTCTTATCAATAAATAGTACTGTGTGATGTAAACTACTGTAATATTTTATTTTGTTTTTTTTTTCGAGTTTTTTCTTTAGCTTTTTGTCTATCATTTTCATCTAAATGAATCGAATACTATCTTCTTGTCTGATTCTTTGTGTATGCACATATACTGACAATATAGTTAGAAATCCTGTTGTCGTAAACAATTTTTTCCTTGATGTCAGTATTGAAAATAGCTTTAGGAAAGTATGCCATTCAGCATAGCTGAATAAATGACTCTTCTATAGTCAATCTTCAACACAAATGACGTATGAATGTGATTTGTTTAAAGAAAAGTTTAATTGATTTTATTTTGTTCACAGGTCGTCTTTTAGGTGTTAATTGAATGTGTGTATGCAAATATAGTTCCTGATTAAGTTTGTTAGTTTTTCTTTTTAAATGGAATGTTTATCATTCGCGCATAATGCGATGTAATTCAATTATTTTGCGTCACTTGATTTTGCATAAACGTTCAAAGTTTTATTTATTAATTCTCGTTGTCAATCGTATCCTCTTTGGCCTGTCGCAAATTATAATAAAAATCATTTGTTTTTAAAAACCTCACAATTATTGCTAATTTTAAGTTTAATTGCTTATTGCAGTTCTGGCCAAGTGTTTATTGTTGCTATTCAACGTATTTTCTCTCTTTTTTTTCAACTATTTTATTATTAATATGTGTGTCTGTGTGTTTTTTTTCTTATTTTTTTTTTCAAAATGTCAACCACTTTTTATTACTTTTAGTTCACACAAGTCTACAATATATATAATAGAGTTTATATGGTCATTTGGATTCGTGTGTTTTTGGTTGAATTGCTTCCGCTTTCTCTAGCTCAATAATAATTTTTCATTTCGGAAAAATCAACGGCTATCTTTAACACATGCTGCTGAATTAATATTGCTTTCTAGTCAAATATTGCTTTATTTCGTTTTAGATGTTTGTTTTTTTCTGTGTGTAGTTTGTATGACTCATTCGATTATTATTATCTCGGAATTCAATCACGTGGAACACCGTTGAACATTACTTAAAATTGCTGCTAAATTTCTACACTTTAAAATCGCTACAATTTATTTAGAAAAAAAAAACTCTCATGTATTTTTAACGCTTTTTTCGCTTCAGACACCTAAATGCATCAAAATAAATGTGACTAACAATGCTGGAGCAAAAACAAAACATACTACGCTCAACTGCTTCATTTTAATTCTACTCTAGTTGTTTGTATTTTATTTTATTTTTCAAGCTTTTTCTCCTTTCTCTCTCTCTCTTTCTCATTTGCAATAACTTTATCTCCTTTCCGCTTCACTTTTCTAACGTAAAAATTCCTCTTTTTTATGTACTTTAATTGCTTTTATTCTCACTTTTGTTTCAACAAATTGACTTAGTTTTCTTTTTAATTGTTTAATTTTAAAAACCATCGCATAAACCACATGCACGAGTTAATTGAACACAATTATATGTGTGATTTTTTTTTTGCTTTTTTCATGTGCGTGTGGTTTTCATTTATTTTATGTAAAATTTTATTCAGCATGTATCTTTTTTCTTTCTCACTTCTTCAACAATCAACAAAAAGGAAGAATGAAAAATACGCTCATTTTGCTTTCTATTTTCACATTTGTGTGTGTTTTTTTTTGTTTCTTCTCTCATTTAGATTTAATTTACTTAGACTAGGTGAAAAGGTATTTTTGTTACCCACCCCAAAAAATGGTTTACAGCGAGTCCTCTGTGGTATATTCTTTTTTATCAGCTGCTGCACTGTGTGAAAGAGATAAAAAATAATTTCGCCATTCTTATCCGTTTGCCGCTTGGTTTCATATTCGTTGTCCTTGCTGCTGCTGCCGCTGCTTCGTTGTCAATATATAAAAAAACATCCAAATAACAATTGTGTACGTGCGCGCAACGACACATGAATCAGTCTCTGATCAATAAATACAATACGTTCGACAGAGTGAGCATTTTTTTTTTTTTAATTTCATTTGGCGTCGTCGTCGTTGTTGTTCATATATCAAAATCGAGAATGACTTCAATGCAGTGTTATGGTATTGTTATTGCTACCATTCGATGAGTTATCGTCGATAGCGAGTGCATTTGTTGGCGCAACAGTTCCATTAACATCATTCTCGTGGCTAAAGCAAGACGATTCCAAATGTTTGTTCAGATAGGATTTCAGAGCGAATGTTTTGTGGCATCGTTGACATTCAAAATTCTTATCTGCCGAATGGGTTTGCATGTGTGCTCGCAAATTCGAACGATCAGCAAATGCTAAAAAAACGGAAATGAAATAATAGGAATAGAGAGAGAGAGAGGGAGAGAAATCAGAACAATTGAAATGGAATTAATAGATGACATTTTCACTAAAATGTCAAATATGAGAGAGAATGTAGTTTTGGTTTGAAAATTATCGGAAATGTAAAATAAATTGAATGCAAGAAATCGAACGAGTGTTGAGTGAGTGATTGTAACTTTGTTGAATAAATAAATAAATCAAATAGAAAAGATGAAACGAGTTGTGAATGGATTGAGGAGATAATTACCTTTTCCGCAATGCGCACATCCATACGGCTTTTCACCGGTATGCGAACGTAAGTGACCCTGCAGAAGCCATGGTCGCGAAAATAGTTTGCCACAAACGCCACAGCTATGCGACAATTTGTGCGTGAGTACGTGCATTGCAAGTGCTGGCATTGAAACATAGGCCTTACCACATGTCATACATTTTTTGGCCGATTGTGAATCCAAACTGCGATGTGTTTGCTTGTGCCTGGACAAATTGCTCGATGTTGCATATTGTTTGCCGCATTCGGTGCACGTGTATTTTGATTTATTATCTATTGAATTGAGAACTTCAGTCGATGCCAAACCATCCGGATTCGATTTCCGTTTCGAACGACCATCACTTACAAAGAACGCTTCGTATGTATACGCAACCGTTCGTGAATTGGCCGTTTCAATTAGTTCATCATTATTATTATGATTATTATCAATGTTGTCGTCGTTGTTGTTGTTACTAATATCGTCGCTGTCGTCTAGCGTACGTTTCGATCTATCGATTTGCTTTGTGGCAGTCACTGAGGCTGTTGTTGTTTTCGATTTCATAAGTACGTTTGTCAAATTGTTGTTATTCTCATTTTGAATGTTTGCATCCGTTTGGTTTGCTTTGGAATTATTGTATTTTAAGTTTTGGTTTATCAGCACATTGGTCGTTGTCGTTGTTGTCATCGACGATTGCTGTTGTTTCTTATAACATTCTTCATCAGGTACGGTCAAGTGTGGCGGCGAAACAGTTGATTTACGCTGATGCAATTGTACACTGTGTTGCATCGATTGAAGTTGATTTTGATTCGGTTCGGTGGTTGTAACTGTTTGAATGCTGTGTTGTGGCGTCTGTTGTTGTTGATCCAATTGCTGATGTGACTCTTGCTGCTGCTGCTGCTGTTGTGGCTGTTGTAAATTTCGCGGTGGCAGAAATGCAGTTGATGCACTCAAATCCAGTATGGCATGGGCCGCATGTAAATCTTCTTCGGCCGGTATTCGTAGTCCGTAAGGACGTTGTGACGGCTTATCATCTAATGAGTATGGCCGATAAATGTCTTTTTTCTTTGGCGGAAGAGACAGATGGGCTCCCGTGCTTGTAAAATGCATCGACAACGATTTCCGTTGCAACGGATGCTGTTGAATCGTTACAATTGGCATTGTTAGATTTTTTTGCTGGCAATATTCACCTGTTGGAATTACAGATACTTGATTTTGTTGATTTAACGATGAAATACCGCTGCTAGTTGTATTTATGGTAGTTGGCTGATTTTCGGATTTTGTTGTAATCGCCAATTCGTGTTCCATGCGCGGCAAATATGCAGTAAAATGCATCGAAATATCTTGTCCGTAACCTATTGAAATCACGAAACGTACATCATATAATAAAAATAAAACAAACGAAATACTTTCTGTTCAAAGTTGGTATAAATTATTAACACCAATTCAAAATGGACTATAACTAATCGATACATCACACTGTACAAAACTACACGTTCGCGAATCGAAATCACATTACATTTTTCGTAAGGACATTTTTTTTCTCGATACACTTCGATAGAAAATAAATGTGGACGCTTTGTTCGAATACAATGTTGTTGCGATACAGAATTTATGTGCTCATGTGCCCATTGCTATCGAAAAAGAAAAATTACCTCAAAGAAAAGGTAATTGGAAACCATCCATTGTATACATGAATTAATCATTGCAAAATACACCGAAAATTCTTCGGAACATGTACGGTACAATCTTTAGCGTATTTTCAATCGCAAAATATCGAATTCATTGAAATGCGATGTGCTTTAATATTGTTTTTGGTTTTGAAAATCATTTTGGTGCGATTTATATAACCACATTTTACAGGATGCCTAGCCTATCGGTTTCGTAAACCATTCACTGCCATTGGTGTCTATCTCTCTCTCTCTCTCTCTCTCTCTCTCTCTCTCTCTCTCTCTCTCT